AAGCTTTAACTTCCCTGCTTTGGCATGCCCCCCATCATTCCCTGAGCTGCAGAACCCACATGGAGTTGAGTCTCCCTTCCCCAGGTAGACCTCATGTCCATGACATTGCATGTCTGAACAGGTCACTAGACTGCTGGGGGCAAGATGACTTTTTAAGTCTAAAACACCATCTCAGACAGTTGCTCCCTACACCGCCTGCTTCTGTTGTTAACTGCCAGAAAAGTAGTCTGTCTAAACTGGGGGGCGGGGGAGATATTCAAACATCTGTGACCTTTCTGGGAGTTTCGGAGGAAGTTAAGGCTATCAGTTCCCTCGTTTCCCCAGATTGGTAGAGAGAGCCTAGGTAAGGGAATTTCACCAAGGGCTCGAGGCTGCTGGGTAAATGCAAAGCGGGGGTAATCAGTTCACCTCTGCACAGCTTCCAGCTCCAGCCTGTTCTGCAACTCAATCACTAGCGCACAGCTAACCAAATCACTGCCTGGGACCCGGGGTCTCCTGTTATGTGGCTCACGGGCCTCATTTACAATCACTATTCACCAGAAAGGCTGCAGGGCTCTTTGGGGCCCATAGTGTCATAGAATATTTGCAGAAACCAACAGGCTGAAAGAGACTGTAGAGTCTTTAATATTAAAGTGGAAGTGGGTAGACCTTTGGCCTCCCCGCCACCATCCCGTCAGGGCTCCCACCCCGCCCCCAACTTCTCAGGTGTTAACACGCAGTGAAGCCCCTCCAAACTGGGAGAGAACCTGATGAAAGTGTTGAAAAGACTGAGAACAGGGCCCACGGATGTGGGTGCGAACTGGGTAACCCCACATACCCGCTCTTCAAGGATCTTGCTGCAAAGCTTTGAGCGGCTGTAAAGTGGTCTTTTGGACACGCTGAACGGTCCAAAGGCGGCCTCTCAGTCTCAGGCTTCCTTGCTCACATTCCAATCCCTGCTGCGCTGCGTCCACCAGAGTTAGCAAGGCCACGGGGCAGTTCAGGACTTCCCACATCACCTCACACAGCAGACGTAGAGCCATGCTTGACTTTGCCAGTCTCTCATCTCCCCTTCTCTAAGAATGAAAGGCGCATAGATGCTGCCGGGATTGCAACTGCAACACCCCCAGTGCCAGATTTTGCATCTGCCAGGCACTTAAAGTAAAACCACCACTCTCCTGTTTGTCACTCGTGTGTGTGTGTGTGTGTGTGTGTGTGTGTGTGTGTGTGTGTGTGTCTGTTCTTTTTGTAAAACCAAGATTAAACAAATTAGAAGAAAAATGGCAGGGAACTGGCCGAATGGAGGCACGGAAGTAGGGAACTAATGTTCCTGGGTCCAGTGCAGAGGAGGGCACTGGGTGGCAGCATCAGACAGCGCCTTTCAGAAGTTTGCCAGAAAGCATTTTGCTAGCATTTCTTTTTTAAAAACTCATTCATCAAAGATGTGGATAAAGAGAGGAAATCACCCAGCCACCCCAGCTCACTGTGCTCTTGGGAATGGCTGAGGACCCAGAGGAAAGGGGTCCCGGGAGTCTGCAGACCCTTCCCTGGAGAACCCTGGCTACAGGAACCGGCGGTGCCACCCTGCAAAGGCTGTGTCTGCAGGCAGGGCAGGGGGCAGGGCTGCATGGGTGCCTAGGCCAATGGGAGAGGAACCAGGAGAGAAAAGTCACAGAGCATGAGAGGGAAGCAGGTAGGAGTATGGTCTAGAGGCAGGCTGAGGATGGGCAGCCCCTGGAGACCGCTAGCCGGAATGCTGGCTCCCTAAGGGAATACTTTCCATAGGGTGTAAAGGGAAACTGGGGGGCGCCCATTGGAATTCTGCTCTAGGCAAAGATTACAACTTCAGGCAGAGACAAACAGCCAAGGGGATGGGGAGTGAGTCTCTCTTACCTGTTTCTAGGCAGGCACTTAAAGCCCAGAGTTCCAGGTCAGCCATTCATTCTTAAGGACCCTTTTAATTAGAGTGGACTTGTGCGCATAACAGCTTTACCCAGAGTATCTGCAGTCCCTGGTAGGCCCTGCTTTCCATTTAGAAGGAAAGGTACCAGCTTGAAGGAATCCCAGGTCAGTAAGACTGCTAATGAAGGTGACCTGTAGAACCATAGCAGATACACGATTTTCTCTGCTCAGCGAGTACATTATAACTCAACACTTGCTTTCAGTCGTTAGAGTCTCAGATAAGCCAAGAACTATTCCTCCAGTCTCCACAGCTCCCCCCACCCCCACCCCGGTAGCTCCAGGTAGCCCAGCAAAAGGAAATCAGTGGCCCCGGTTACCATTTCATATTCTGGCCAATCTTATAAAGTGCAGGGAAGCGCCACAGATCAATAGCTATTCTGGGTTAACATTGCCAGAGCTTTTTTTCTTCCCTCCAAAACCAGGAAGCCCCTCCCCTACCCATAGATCACAGCTTATTATAGCAAAGGCATATTTTATGTGGTCTATTTATGGACATGAGCGTTTAGGAAGAGAACTCTTTTGAGTATGTTTGCACTTCTTAGTCTAGCTTTAGATAGCCATTCTTATCATAGCATTAATTAATTAGCTAAGTAATGAATTAAAACGTTTAAAAAGCCTGAGCTGTCTGCTAGCCTCGGGTTGGGAGGTGGGTCTGACCTTCTGCCACCTGGGCCCTGGGTAAGCACAGGTTGGTGGAGACCCCACAGAGCAGTCTGCCTGCTGGGTGAGTCCCCCTGCCTGCAGCGGCCTCCTAGTTCTGTGTGCTGTGTGATGGGACACAACAAACCATGTTTACTTGCAGCAGGGCTCTAATGAGCAGACTCCCTAAGGGGATATTAGTGGAAATAAAAAGCCAAATGAGCGTTTCTATGAAAAACTGGGCCATGGATAAGCACTCCTCAAAAGCGCAAGGCATCTATTTCTCTTCCAGATTAGAGGACCTTAAGCTACCTTAAAGCATTACGTGACACTCTTTGAAGAGCTTGCCAATCGAATTAAGAATGTGTGTGTGCCGAGTGGGTGTGCACAGTGTGTGTGTGTGTGTGTGTTGAGAGAGGAGACGGTTACAAGTACATTCATCATTAACCACCGCCCCCCCACCCAAATGCTCGTGGACACCCTGTCTCTTAGCAGCTCCAGAGACTTTTGGAGGAACCAGAACCCTTCCTATGACGATGAGAAGGGGGAGGCTCAGAAAGGTCGAGCGATTCAAAAACTCACACAACTGTCCAGAGCTGACTCAAAGCCCTGCACCCCGACTCTGGGCAACAAGAGCGTGGCAGTCAACAAGCAGTTATCAGGGAAAAAGTCATTCAGAGATGATTCTCCTTGCCCCCCCCCAGCAAGGTCTAAGCACCTCTTTCTCCATCATCCATTGCAGGAAGTGAACCCCGTGAACTCAAACTTTAGAACAGCTACTATGTTGCAGGGTTTTAAAGGCATTAAAATGCAAAACAGGAATAAACAAGGTTTCCTGCCACCGGGAAGTAACTAATCTAAGTTGACAAAATAATGGGGTTGGAGTAAGGGCTCCAAGGTGGCCATGAAATGGAATGCAAGAGTATCTTTAATATGGATACGATGTACTTCCTCTGCCAAGGATGATTGGAAGAGAATTCTCATTTATAAAATCAGGCCATAAGGGGGGGGGGGCAAAAACAAAAACACTGAGCAGGAGGAAAGAGATGAATGAGTAGAATGAGGGAGGGCACACACATGAACGCTTCAAGGAGATTCACGGATTCGTCATAGCCTGGGTAGCATAGAAAGCCAGTTGCTCAGTATAGTCCAGGGCTCCTCCATCACATCGCCCCCAGGAGTGTGGCCTCAGAAGCTCCAGAGAGCTGTCAGCTTAAACACTTCCAGGAATGGAGGTGGGGGCCACTCATAATTACTGATCTGCAGCAAGAGGGCTGAGGACCATCCCATCATGAGTTTAGCATCACAAGCATCACCCAACACTGCCCAACCACAGTAGTCAGTTACAGATTTGGTCTCCTGGAGACAGTCCCAGACTCTGCTGCAGACACAACCCCTCCCCCTGTCCCCAGTCCCCCAGTACAGTGAAGACCGGTAAGCAACTCCCTCACGAGTCCTGCATCAGATTTTATTTTCTCACCATTTCACCTTTGGGGAGTTTAGCTGTGTCCTCCCAGCATGCCCCTTACCCCGTTCCCTATCTTCCCCACCACATCCGTAGGCAGCTGACTCTTCATTAATCTCCCCACCTAGGCTGTAACACGCCGAGGTCCTAGCCCCGCATCTCAGCTTTAGAACACTGACTTGAGGTGGATGAACACAGAGGATGCAGCACCAAGCAAGCGAGCAGTGAGGCAGCCACTGGCAACTCAGCAGCCAGTCGCCTGCCGGCTCCAGGCAGCCGGGGCAGCTCCTAGCAGGTTTCATTATTACACAATTGAAGCTAAGCCCTCCTCCCGCCGCTGTCCTCAGTGAAGATTCGCATCTAGCCCGCAGGAGGGAAAGAAGCTAAACTCCTCCCAGCAACGCGCGCGCCCACACACACACACACACACACACACACACACACACACACACACACACACAGTTTGAAACAGTTTGAGGACAAGGGCAAACTCCTGCAGAAACGGCCCCTTGTCAACTTCTGTCTCAATACTCCCCAGTTCTGCATGAGCAAATCCTTGTACCCACAGGCAGGACAGACGGCAATTTGAATAACTTTTCTGATTTTTTTTTCTCTTGGGCGCTGACCCACAAGTGCGTAGGAGGAAAGTAAGGACACCTCTACCTGAGTCTTCCCATCACCCTCCCTTCAGCCCCCACACCCTGCTCGGAGGACGGTACGGGGGAGACACTACATGTTTTCTCCACTGTTGCTTGCCAGTCCAGGAAACACCACTCAGTCACTGTAAAAAACGCCACACCGCCCAGAGAGCGAGAATGAGCCTAGGAAAGCAAGTTAGCGGTCTTCAGAGCATTGGGATCCTAGCACCAGCAAACTATTTGCATGAGTTCCCTCATAGATGCCTCCCGAAAAAAGGCTAGAGCCCCCACGGAAAGCCGAAGAGGAAGTGACTCACCTTTAGGTTGTGCGTGGGGTTGACCACACAGACAAGCTGCCCGGCAGCAGAGAAAACCCGTTTAGCCTTGTAGTGCTGAAACCGGAGGTGAATGAGATCCAACACAGCCCCAAAGCACTGAGTAAAGAAAAGCATCCCAACTTTTGGGGGGCTGTTGGCTCAGGAAGGCGGCGGAGGATGCTGTAAGTCCTTGGGCTCTGAATGGAGACAGCCTCTGAGACACTCTGCTCCAGCCCGGCTTAGCGCGCCTTCATATTCATCATCAAAATAAGACGGTTAGAATCTTGCAGCAGCGAGGCAGCCAATCAAAAGGACAGAAATGTTATCCTTGAGGTGCAGAGACAGCCAATAACAAATACCTCCCCTACCGGAGCTCCCTGATGAATTGAGCCTGGCGGAGAATGTATTATTGAACATTACCATAGATCAGCACACTGCATTTATCTTGTGATTACAGCCAACCATACATAATGCTGGGGAGATAGGCTGACAAAATTGATTGCTTAATGTGTCTCCATTTATTAATTGACTTAATTTAACATGAGAGCCTTTCTTAGTGCCCTGAACAACAGCCCTCCCCCCAGAAGAAAAGAAAAAATGTAAAACGTTTAAACCTCCAAACAGGAGAGCGCTGTGCTCCAACAGGCAGATGGGTTAGGCAGCTTGTGGTTCTACTCACCAGAGCTGCTGGAAGAAAACCAAATACTACAAGACCCCGATGCTAGACACGGATTTGGCAGCTGCAGAAGGGTGTATCTTTCAATCTTGTTCTCTGACGCTCTGCAATTTGGATTGTAGCCCCTTGATAATCTAACTCCCCACTCTTCGTGCAAAAAAAAAAAATGACAAATGAATTTGGAATTGAGGAGGGAAATATATATATTCAAAATATAGTAATCACTGAAATCTCTTTTATTAAAGCATAAAAATGCACAGAGCTCGCTTCTAAAAATAATAGAATCCCTGATGCATGAACACACACGCACACACAGAGAAAGCCGCTCAGGAAAGGAAGTGGCTTGTACATCAGCCGAATAATTACAGATGCAGAGAACCTGTGCTTGTCACTCATTTGCATATTGGTGGGCAGCAAATTGCTAATTAACCAGGAGATTGTTGGCGACACACGCGGCACTTCACTTACTTGTTTGTGTGAATGCCAGCAGCATACTGTGTTGGAATGGGCAGAGACCAATCCTGTCCTTAGCTGCACCAGGGCACCGACCACCCCAGTGCCCAAGGTAGGCCACGGGGCTGCCAGCCGGCTCCTGAAGGAGGCCTCCGAAGCAGTACATGGGGGTGCTTTGGACTTTCGGGGAATAAATTCCATGGTTCATTTTAATCTCTGCCCAAGAATCGGACTGGAGGACTGAGTTTTAGCTCTTTGGCTTTTTTTTGCACAGAATGGTCAGATCAACTCTAGCGCTACTGCGACAGGAACCGCTTCTGGAATGGCAAAAGGCTAGATGTGTTGGGGTCCTAGGACCTAGCTTGCAGTAGATAGAGACTCTCTATGACCCCAGGACACCCGAGCGGACACTCAATGAGGCACTTAAGAACAGACGAAAACACAGCAGAAAAGAAGGAGTCTAGCTGTAGGAAACCAAAGCAGAGCCCAGCTTCATTATAACTCGATTTTTAAAGTCAATATTTAAAGCATTGTTCTCAGCCTTTCCTAGTGCTGCAACCCTTTAAGACAGTTTCTCATGATGTGGTGACCCCCAACCACAAAATGATTTTAGTTGCTACTTCATAGCTGTCATTTTGATACTGCTATGAATTGTAATTGTATCTGTGTTTTCTAATGGTCTAGGGCGACCTCTGAGAAAGAGTCTTTTGACCCCAGAGGGGTCACGACCCATAGGTTAAGAATCACTGATCTAAAGAAACACGTTGAATAACAAATGAAATAGGATGTTAATGTTTGCACTTTAACAATAAATGCACCAGCAAAAAATATGTGTCTGAACAATGTAAACCTGAATCAACACGCTCTAAAAATAGGGTGTGCGTTCCTAGACCCACAGCCTGGGGCCTTGTTTGCTTTCTACTTTGCTGTGGTGCACACATGACCAACAGCAACTTGAGGAAGAAAGAGCTTGGTTTGTACTTCCAGGTCACACTCCATCCCTGAGAGAAGTCAGGGCAGGAACACAGGGCAGGAACCTGGAGGCAGGAGCTGAAGCAGAGGCTGTGAAGACACTGCTTACCGGCTTGCTTTCTATGGCTTGCTCAGCCTGCTTTTCTATATAACCCAGGACAACCTGGCACTGCCCACATAATCATTAATCAAGAAAATGCCCCACAGACTTGCTTCCAGGAAAGCTAATAAAGGCAGTTTCTCAACTCAGATTCCCTCTGCCCAGATGACTTTAGTTTATGTCGAAATGACAAAAGACTAACTGGTACAGATTGCATGAAAATATATAGTTTATAGTCATATTTTATAAGCAAGTGTTCTTAATCTACAAAATTAGAAGCCACTTCCAAAAGTTGTATCATTTGTAATAAACTTCCTGCAATTAAGCAGGATAGCATTCAAAGTTTTCATTGTCTTTGGGGCGGGGGCTCTTTGGTTTTTGGGTTGTTTACATATATTTATTGTATGTGTGTGCACACACGCACGCACACACACACACACACCTTGTCCTGTGTGTTGAAGTCAGAGGACAACTTGCAGGTGTCAATTATTTCCTTCAAGGTTGTGGGTTTCAGGAGGGGATTGATCTCAGGTCACCAGGCTTGGGGACTGAGTCTCTTGATCAGCTCTCATTTTTGGTGTTTTGAGATGTGATCTCATATAGCTGAGGCTGGCCTCAAATCTTCTATGTGGCCTGAGATGACCTCTCTCTGCATCATGAGTGATGGAATTACAGGTGTGCACACCATTGTGCCCACTCTTTTTTTTTCTTCAATAAAAGTGAACATATAGACCCAGCGATGGTGGCACTTTAATCTCAGCACTCGGGAGGCAGAGGCAGGTGGATCTCTATGAGTTCAAGGCCAGCCTGGTCTACAAAGTGAGTTCTAGGACAGCCAGGGATACACAGAGAAATCTGTCTTGAAAAAACAAAAACAAACAAGCAAAAAATGAGCATATATTCCCATGTACCCCTAAGAAGACTCAGAAGATCTAAACTTTTATTTTTACATTCTTGGTTAAATTGGAACTATTATTTTATTGATTTCTATCTTATTTGTTTCCTGGCCTTACTAGAAGTAAGTCCAGTGACAGTGGGGACAGTTTTCCATTATCTTTTAAAAGGTACATTTTAAATAAAATGGCTGCAGGCAAGATAAAGACGGCATCGAGTAGAATGGAGCCTGAGAACTTTGAGACATAGGAATGAATGCTCTTTTTAATCTGAGATCTAATTAAAGACTACTTTACAACAGTTTCTGGTGCACAACGAAGTTGAAGGGAAGGCACAGGGAATTCCCATGCCTGTGCCGTCACTCTTGGATGACTCCGGCCCCACCCACACCCCCACCAGAGTGCAAACCGCCTTTGTAACAAGTGGTAAATCCCACTCACACACACCTCTAACCCGGGGTGTGTAGCTGACCTCAGGCGTCAGAGTCTGCAGAGTAGATCAGGACTCTGCACAGATAACCACAGATCAGCCACTGTCATTCCAAGGAGTCACGCTGCTCTGAAAACCCAGACCCCTTTGCTCTCTTTCCTTCCTTCTTCCCAGACTCCTGGCACCACCGACCTTTTACCGGCACTGTTGCCTTTTCCAGAATGTCCTACCACTAGAACCATAGTTTGAGGCCTTCCCAGAATGACTTACCTCACTTAATAATGTACATCTCTGTGTCTTCTCGTGACTTGGCAACTCATTTATTCTCAGTGCTGAATAGTGTCCCTTTTCCTGAACATACCACAGTCGACCTGTTCACCCACTGGGAAGCATTTTTATAGCTTTCAAGATTCCAAGAAATTGTGAACTACAATTCCTTAAACATCTGTTTTAGTAGTTACCTTTCTGCTGCTACGATAAACCACAATTGCCAAAAGCAACGTCGGGAAGAAAAACAGATATTTTTATTGTCTTATATTTATTTCTTTGGGGGAGGGCCCACACACATGTTATAGCGCACATGTGTAGGTCAGAGGACAGCTTGCAGGAATCAGTTCTTCCCTTCCATTATGTCAGCCCTAGGACTTGAACTCTGGTCATTAGGCTTGGGAGCAAACACCTGTACTCACTGAACCATCCTGCCAAGCCAAGGAGGAAAGGCTTTATTTTAGCCTACTCTTCCAGAGGGATGGAGTCCTCCTGGCAGGGAAGGAGAGAGAGAGAGAGAGAGAGAATGGGGGGGGGGAGTGAGACAAAGCTTTAAACTCACATAGCCCCAGTGAAGGCCCCCACCCCTCCGCCAGACTCCACCATAATGCTGGCACTCCCTCAGTGCCATAGTACTCAGGCTTGCCTGCATCTTGGACCAGTAAGGAGACAAACTAAGGCTCAAGTCCTACATGCTTAGTTAATATGACCTTGGTCAAATTGCTTGATCTCTCTGATGTCTTCTATAAATGAATCTAGTCATGTCATTCAGAAATTAAACACAATAGTAGCGGTGAAACAACCATGACCCACAGTAAGAACCCCTGCCCTGACACACACACACACACACACACACACACACACACACACACACTGTCCTCTTCTCTCCAAAAAGACATTTGTGCAAATTAATTCACAGCACTGGAAAGGAGATGGAACACCAAAACTTGGCGGAAAACTGTTTGCTATTACCTACTAAAGCTAGCTAGATTGAAGAAAGAAGATAGATAGATAGATAGATAGATAGATAGATAGATAGATAGATAGATTATAGATGATGATAGAGAGATAGGTATATGATCAATGATATTTAGATTTAGATAGATTGTAGCTAGCTAGCTAGATGGTAGATAGGTGATAGATAGATAGATAATAGATAGATAGATAGATAGATAGATAGATAGATAGATAGATAGGCAGATCTCATAGAACCCACAAATCTACTCCAGTGCCTCACAGAGATGATAACCTGGCCTCCTCAAAAGCTATGTACAAGGGCTTCCATAGCAGCACGCTGAGATAGTTGAAAGCAGAAAGCGTCCTATCTATCAACAATAAAAAGAATATTTTATGTGATTCCTCTCTAGTCAAATACTGCAAAAAAAATTAAAATAGAGTAAATTATTATTGCTTCAGCTACTGTAATAACATGAAAGGATCTCACAGATGTGATTCTGGGGTAG